AATATTTTTTTTTTCATTTTTTGGTTTAATCGACAATAGAGTATTCCAATGATGTGAGCTTGAGGGTTCACATATGAATGCAAGATGGAAGAATCAGTTATGATGAATTTGATGCTACAATGAAAATGGTGGAAAAGGCTTCTCGGCATTACTCAAGAGGGAGATTCAATAGTCTAACCATAAATCTCATGAAAAAATGGTTCCATTAACCTGTGTGAGTAAATATATACTCATTTATAAGTATAAAGTCTCTGCATTCCTTATATTATATGGGGTTCCATCGATTGGTGGCTTACAATGATCATGGACGAGACAAGTACATCTGATTAGCTTCTTCAAATTGTTTAGTTAGTAAAAATAGTCTTGTATGCAATGAATATGCCACGCACGATCCTGTCCTCTCATTATTTTTTGGATAATTCTGAATTTTGGATAAGCCAATAGATGAAATAGTGCTATTTTATGTGTTGAATGTTTAAAAAAAAGTAACCAAAGAAAAAATGAGGTATAAATCTATTTTGCAGGCACGCTAATATTACCTTAAAAATGACAAAGCCCATGCATAGCATGGGTAGATGACTAGTACACAGAGAAGAAACAAAAACGGAAGAAAAGACGAGGAAGAAAAAGAAAAAAGTGGAGAAGAAAATTGGAGTAAAGAAGTGTGGCTTGGGAGATACACATATACACGGACAGGGAGAAAATGAAGAGAAAGAAATTGGTTTTTTTTTTTTTAAAGTCAAGTTTGGTTACTGCTAGAATTAAAGAGAAAAGATATATACGCACAGAAAGCGGACGGACACGCAAGGAGAAAGAGTTAATTCCAAATGTGTGTACAATAATTCATCAATAATTATGCAAGAAATTTAGGGATTATTCACATTCGTCAAATTTTGTTGAAACATATATTTATACATGAACATGGCTTCAAGGGGACGAATATATATACCAGAAAACGCGGCTGCGAGGAGAATTTATTCAAATAATCCGATGATGTATTCAA